TTTTCCTTATTAGATTCTGAGTGAAACGATGAATGTATTGATTTTACAATGATGTGTGTTTTTTTTTTTATTTTTTTTTTTATTTTATTTTTTATTTTTTTTGTGTCTGTGTACACGATAAGTAGTCGAAATAATGCTTCGATTTTCGACTTCAGTATCTTGTTCGATTGGAAAGTGAATACCGTTGGTGCATTGGGGAGGTCAAAATTTAAATTTCCCAGTAGTTTTCAAGAGCGCCGGGAAAAAACAACATAAAAATTAAGGAAAAACGGGAATTTTTACGCAAAATCGGTTTTCCAAAAAATCGATTTTGGTTTTTGGTGTAACTTTAAAACAAATAACCGTAGATACATGAAATTTTCAGTGGTTGTTTATATTTGCATTTTCTATACACGATAACATTTTCAAAATATTTTGATTTATTTTGAACAGTTTAGGGACATTTTCATTTTTAGTTTTTTTTTTAGGTTTTTTTCTAGAAATATCAATAAAATTTTATTTGTTGGTTGCGAAAGCTTGAAAATTTAATAGAAGGCTCCTAATATGTTGTTTCAAAGGCAGATGAAAAATATTAAAAATCCTTAGTCACAATTTTTTTTTATAAGCATTTAAAGTTCAAAAATTGACAAAATATGGAAAAATCACGAAAATTAGCAAATTATTTTGAGTTAAGAATTCGTAAAAATTTTTCTTTTTAAATCTAAGATTTGAAAATCTAATACAAGATTACTCATAAGATTGTCTACCTTTATCAATAAAAAAATTTCTACCGGAAAGTCAAATTAAATTTTTATGAGCGTTTGAAATTCAAATTTTTACAACATTGGATATTCACTCGATTTCTCATGTGGCAATTTCCTTTTTTTGTTGTAATTAAAAAACGAATTACTGTAGATACATGAAAATTTCACTGAATGTTTATATTAGCATTTCCTATACACCCTACAATTTTGAAAATATTTTGACACTTTTTGAGCCGTTTACGGACATTTTCAGTTTTCAATTTTTTTAGTTTTTTTTTTCTATAAATATCAATTAAGTTTTATCTGTTGGGCCAAAAAGTGTAAAAATTTAATACAAGGCTCCTGATATATTGTTACAATATCAGTTGAAAAATATTAAAAATACATAGGCACAATTTTTTTTTATAAGCATTTTAACATCGAATTTTGATAGAATTTTTCAAAATCTCGAAAATTATTAATCATCGTAATTAATAAATTATAAAATGTTCAGTTTTTATAGCTAAGGATTGAAAATTTAAAACAAGATTCCACGTAAGTAGTTAATTCTCTTACCGAAAAATCTAAAAAATATACAATCACAGTTTACTTTTATAGTCATTTTATGTTCAAATTTGGACGAAATTACATATTAAAAAACCTAGTTATTTTGTTGTGATTATATAATATTATTCGTGGGTACCTACTTGAAACTTCTAAAGTGTACTATTATATATATATGATAGTATCAGGGTTTGTTGTTGATGTTGATGTATAACGTGTTATAAGTACCTAATGGATATTGTGATAATGTGATATGATTAATTTGGAATTTATTATAGGTCAATTTTTTTTTTAATACCATAGATATGTATATAATTTGTATTAAACCTAGACTGACATACCGTCTTCGCTCAGAATCGTTTTTCTTATACAATGATATTGTATCATTGAATTCAAATTTAATAGCATCCATTATACAGTGACCCACTTGTAACCTACTGTACAGTAGAGCGACATCCACTTACCCACCTTTTTTATGTTGTTTTTCCCGGCGCTCTTGAAAACTACTGGGAAATTTAAATTTTGACCTCCCCAATGCACCAACGATATTCACTTTCCAATCGAACAAGATACTGAAGTCGAAAATCGAAGCATTATTTCGACTACTTATCGTGTACACAGACACAAAAAAAATAAATAAAAAAATAAAAAAAAAAACACACATCATTGTAAAATCAATACATTCATCGTTTCACTCAGAATCTAAAATTGAAAAATGAAAATGTCCGTAAACAGCTCAAAAAGAGTCAAAATATTTTCAAAATCGTATGGTGTATAGGAAATGCTAATATAAACATTCAGTGAAATTTTCATGTATCTACAGTTATTCGTTTTTGAATTACAACAAAATAAGGAAATCGCTACATAAGAAATCGAGTGAATAACCAATGTTGTAAAAATTTGAATTTCAAACGCTCATAAAAATTTAATTTCACTGTCCGGTAGAGATTTTTTTATTGATACAGGTAGACAAACTTATGAGTAATCTTGTATTACATTTTCAAATCTTAGATTTAAAAGGAAAAATTTTTACGAATTCTTAACTCAAAATAATTTGCTAATTTTCGTGATTTTTCCATATTTTGTCAATTATTGAACTTTAAATGCTTATAAAAAAAAATTGTGACTAAGGATTTATAATATTTTTCATCTGCCTTTGAAACAATATATTAGGAGCCTTCTATTAAATTTTCAAGCTTGCGCAACCAACAAATAAAATTTTATTGATATTTCTAGAAAAAAAACTAAAAAAAAATGAAAAATGAAAATGTCCCTAAACTGTTCAAAATAAATCAAAATATTTTGAAAATGTTATCGTGTATAGAAGATGCAAATATAAACAACCAGTGAAAATTGCATGTACCTACGGTCATTTGTTTTAAAGTTACACCAAAAACCAAATTCAATTTTCTGAAAAATCGATTTTGCGTAAAAATTCCCGTTTTTCCTTAATTTTTCTTTTGTTTTTCCCGGCGCTTTTGAAAAGTACTGGGAATTTTAAATTTTTACCTCCCCAATGCACCAACGATATTCACTTTCCAATCGAACAAGATACTGAAGTCGAAAATCGAAGCATTATTTCAACTACTTATCGTGTACACAGATACAAAAAAATAAAAAAATAAAAAAAAAAACACACATCATTGTAAAATCAATACATTCATCGTTTCACTCAGAATCTAAAAAAAATAAGAATAAAATAAAATATAATTAATAAATATAGCTAAAAGTTACGGCGTAAAAATGATACATTTTGTAAAAAACATTTAATTTTTTTGTTAGTTCTAAACACATTTTTTTTAGCCTTTGCTCATATTTTTTTTTTTTTTTAAGTTTTCCAATTTGGATATTTAACAATTTAATAATTGCTTTTGAATTTGACTCAAATAGTTCAGTTAATCAAAAAAATAAATCTATATATAATCTATTTATAATTTAGATATTTGTTGTATGTATTATAAATTTATAAGTTAAACATAAAATCTTATTTAATTTTAATTAAAACAGTTATTAGATAGAAAATACATTTATTAGAGTTTTATTAATGTTCATCATAAAGCTACTATCAATGTCAAAAAATTAATGAATCCAATTTCCATACCTCTTGTTTAATTAAATGTCGGAAGTCTGTTCTAGGTATATGTTGCCACTTTCCAACTCACATACGTACATCCTGGTCCTCGATGATCTGCACTATTAAATTTGGTTACCTACTTCTTCACAATTGGACAATGATAGTATGATATAGCCTACAAAATAAAAATAAAAACACAATATATGTAGATAATAATATTAATATTGACAAACAATTTAAAAAAACAATACAGTACTTCTGAACCAAGAGAAGGATCATTCATTTTTAATACTTAAATTACAAAAGAAAAATATCTTTAAAGTGCCCTTCCTCCTTTTTCATACGGACTGAGGACCGTCAATGGTAGAGTTAACACTAAGATTTGCAAATGTGGGCATGTTAATGATTATAACTAACTCAAGATAAGCTAAGTTAAGTGAACACAAGATTGTTCTAGGTTAAAAGTTGATACTGTTTACATTCTGAATTTAAGTTAATTTAATTTAAGTATTGCATTATAAAACAATTAACTTTTTTTTTTAATTTAAACATTTTAACTATCTAGGTAATCACCACTTTTAAAGATATGACTTAGTTACTTAGGTACCTAATTTCATGTTAGGTAATAGATTCCATTTTACTGTATGTGTAATTTATAAGTTCCACTATACCTAGCTTATGTAACCAATCATTCATTACTTACAATAAGTATTGTATTATAGTTTGTTTATCTTTATTTCATATTAGATTTTATTATTTTTTTATTATAAAATATGACGTACTTGATAAGTAACCTAACTTGGTAAAATTGTTCACTATCGTTTAGACAGAAACAAGTCTGAAAATACAGTTATTTGTACTAAGTATGGAAATCAATTTAAGTCCTTAAAAAATCTTAGAGCTCATATTAAAAAAAAAACATCCTTTAACTGATATTTACAGTATAGCACCAACCAACAAAAAATAAAAAAACAAGGAATTATATGTGTTCTATTGTAGCGAATCATTTTGCCATATCAAAAATCTCAATGAATATAAAGCAATTGCAATTGCATTTTCAATAGAAATAGTTAAACCTACTTTGAAGTATCTCATAGAATGTCTTGAATTCGAAAATATTGAAAATTTAAATTTATGGAAAAATGAAATGGAACATGAATCCAAATCATGTTACATAAAAAATTGTGGATCTATTGATAATGATCATAGTTATAAAACATTTATATACTATAAATCCTATAGGAATAGAAATTATATTTCAAAAGGTTAGGTCTGAGGCATTTAAAAACACAATGTTCGAATAAAATTAATGGATACTGCCCATCTCGTATTGATGTTACTATAATATGTAAATTAAGTTTATAGCAAATCATACAGGCCATGATAATGATTTAGGGCATTTACCATTAAATAAGGATGTTCGAGATAACATAGCGAGTAAGATGTCTCAGAGTATACCTTTTGAACATATTTTAGATGAAATAAGTAATAATATTTCAAATAATTCTTTAGAAAGAATACATCTCTCAACAAAGAAAGATTTACATAATATTCAAACATCTTATAATCTAAATAATAAAGATATATGACATGCAAATGATGCAATAAGTGTTGAAAGTTGGGTTCAAAATTTAAAAAAGATGACAAATTTTGCCTTATACATATACTATAAGCAACAAGATGAGTTGGATCAACAATTTTCAAACTTAAAAAAAGATGATTTCTTGTTAATTATAATAAATTATTATGGACATGATGTAATTTGTACAGATGAAACTCATGGTATGAATTCCCATCACTTTAATTTAACAACACTCTTAGTACTAGACGATATGAGAGAAGGTTTTCCATGTGCCTTTATGATTAGTAATCATATCAATGAGGCAGTACTGACAATATTTTATTCTAAAATAAAATCATTAACAGGACAATTGCAGCCCAATGTATTCATCTCCGATATGGCTGAAAGTTTTTTTTATGCATGGATTGTTGAAATGAAAAGTCCAAAACATAGATTAGCCGATATATGTTGATGAGAGAAAAAATTTGGTTAAAATCAAATCTAAAGATAAGCGATGTGAAACATACAAACTTTTGAGGACTTTACTTCATGAATAAGATCCAAAAGCCTTTGAAATAATTTTTGAAGAAGCTATAAACCAATTGTCGGCTAATGATGACACTGTTGATTTTACTAATTATTTTGTTAATAATTATGGTACATGTGTTGAATCTTGGGCTTACTGTCATCGTCTTCATGCAGGAATAAATACAAATATGCATATCGAAAGAATGCACTGGACTCTGAAACATATTTATTTAAAAGGTAAAAAAGTTAAGCGACTTGATAAGTCTATACATGCATTATTGAAATTTCTTAGAGACAAATCTATAGACGGACTTATTGTACTTCATAAAGGAACTTACTTCTAAAACTAAAGAATTAAGAAAAAGGCACAAGAATAGTCTTGAAATGTCAACTAATAATGTGATTAAAAATGGAGAAGATTGTTGGAATGTCATGGCAAGTGGTCATGATGATATGTACACTGTAAATAAATTGAAAAACTCCTGTGATTGCCAAATCGTTTGTGATGAATGCAAAACTTGTATTCATTGTTTTTCATGTACATGTATGGATAGTGCAATTAAATGGAATTTTTGTAAACATATTCATTTGGTTTGCCTATCTGAAATATCACAAAATATAAATACTAATAGTTATACAAAAACCTAAGTTTGGAAGACAATAATAAAAAAATGAGACTGTTAGTATTGTATCTCAACTTAATAATACAGAAGTAATACATGAAGTAGACAATTTAGAACATGAAAAACAAAAATTTAAAAACATATTTGATACAATGTTACATACTGTTTCAAGTTTAGAAGAAATGTTTGTCGTCTGCATATCCTACATTATTAGCATTAAGAAATAATATTAATTAAAAGCCTTTTAAATAATGTCATTATATATTTCACCAAAAAATAAGAAAATTATACATCAGCGTCAATTTTTTTCTACTAAAAAGACAAAAAAACACAAAAACTTCAACTATTTTAGTATCGAACAAAATCGAAAAGAATAATATAAATGCATCCTAATTGTTGATGAACAAAAGAAAGTAAGACACTTGAGATAAATGTTAAATTTAAAAAATGGTAAATGCCTATTATGCATAGGAAATGTATAGGCTACTAATTTTTTTTTTTATTTAAATTAACCTATTTTACCTAATTATTGTATTATAACATGTATTGTGTATACCAATTATATTTTAATTATTATTTATTTATTATTATTATGACAATTAATGTGAACCCAACTATATTATAATTACCAATTTGAATATTGACATTTTCTTATAACTATTTAGCTGTAACTATACAAGACATTGTTTGTTGTGTATTATGACGTGTATTGTGTATACCTATTATTTTGTAATTATTATTGAAGTAAAACTTCTTTCTTGAGGTATGGTTGGAAAAAAAGTTGAAACGAAAAATGAAACCACACGTTTGTTTATTTATTTATTTTGCAAGTCATGCACGGTGGTGGTGGCGTGCACGTTTATTTTTATTGTATTGATTTTTCTCACTTTCTCCTTAATTCACTTATAGTTTAACGGGCCCCAATACTTATGAAAGAAGTTTTACTTCCCCAGAGTGTAATGGTGGGTTCACACACTCGTATTTTTATTATTATTATTATGACAGTTAATGTGAACGTGAAGTCGTGAACCTACCTATATTATTATACTTAACAATTTGAATATTGATATTCAATTATAATTTATAACTATTTACCTCATTTGATATTATAATTGAACATTTGTAATACTAATAATTATTTTTATAAACTACGAATGTTTGTTAATATTTTTTGGTATTTAAATATTTTATATTTTAAAATCTCTTGAGATAATGTCACATAATAAATGTATTCTGTGATAATACTGATAAATGTTTGTGAAGATAAGAAGTACGATTGATAAGAGCATAAGGCCGCCATCTTGCAGCCATTCGGCGTTTTCTGTCTCTAGACGCTTGTAAATTGTACCATGCAGTGGCGTAGCCAGGGGGGGGGTTGGGTGTATAACCCCCCCCCCCCCATTGACATTTCAACCCCTAATAAATATATTGTTTGTAGGGTTCGGGACTCCTTGCATGTTTTATTGTAGTGGTAGTAGGTTATTTTAGATAAGTTATAAATTTGTCTTATGAAATTTTTTTGTCTTATCAAACGATGTTTGAATTTGCATATTTTTGTATATTGTAGGAAAAGTGTACATTTGAGTGATTTTTCGTATATTTGTGCATATATTGAATTTTTTTAACTTAAATGTAGGTACTTACATACAATTATCGAGAAAAATCATATTTGGACAACATTGAAAAATATCTTTAAAAATATTATGTTTGGTTAGGTACAATAGGAGCTAATTTTGAGATTTGGGGAAGCCGAAGCCTAAAATCATACTATTATATAATTGAATAAGGTTAAAAAAAAATTAGTAAACGTTTGGGACAATATCATGGACCCTATTTTCGCATATAAAGATTTTATAAGTCTCTTTGTGACAAGACTGTGTTAAAACTATAATTGACATCTAGATTCTAGACTGTATGAAGAAATGAAAATTAGTAGATACGTGTTCGTTTATCACGGTGTTCGCATATCACGTTATTCGTTATTACTTATTTATTAACCTAGTATTTTATGCCAGTATTTTTAAAAATGAAGTTTTATTTCACAATAGTTTAAAAATGTCCAAAACATGCAATAGCTGTGTCCTCCGTCCATCATATTAATCAATATATAGGTACCTATAGGCTAACCTACCTATATTAAAATTTGTATATCCGTGATTAAATTATTTTTATCATGTTTATATACCTACTTATTTTTTAGTTTTTTATTACAAAAATTGTATTATGTTTTATGAATTTTTCAAAAATAATATAAAAATGTAGCTACATATATTTAAACATATTTTGAAAATGTTGACTGCATATTTCGATAATTTTTAGTGCAACAAGTCAAGTCCCGAAACCCTAAATTTATTTATATACGAAAACAGTAAAAACTTGGTTTTAATCTATACTTAAATTAAACACCCCCCATTTCATAATTCTGGCTACGCCACTGGTACCATGTAACCGTAATGTATTTATGTATCATATTTTAGTGATGAGCTCAAAAAAACAAAACACAAATAATAATGTACTTTGAAACAATAAGAACTTTTTTCGTATAAGGGATATCAAAAAAATAAAAACGAAATTGCACAGCCACAGTTATACTTTATATGCGGTGAAAATTTTGTTTCTTAGTTATGAGTTATGACTATAGACTTCTAGGTTCTTTGCCATGCCAAACCGTATTTGCTATGCCATTGCTATACCGTACGTGTGTAAGGTGGAGACAAGTAGACAACATAATATGCGGGTGCCCGGTGCGACGTCCTCTTAAGGGGGCTCCACCGTAGCATATTTTAAGGAGTACTACTTAGGCAATTCATGTGACAATTAATACTGTATCTATGTGTGAGTAGTAAATGAACATTAGTGTGCATAATCCGTTGTCGTTTCCGAGGATCGCTGCTCGTCGAGTCGGGCAACGATGCGGGAAGCAACTCTCACACGCGCACGCACATGTCAATACTTCGCGAAAATTGAAATATATTCTTGTTTGCATGACTATAAAACTACTAAAAGCGGTAGTAAATTAATCATACTTCTCGAAGTTTGACTGTAATTTCGAAAAAATGGTTGAATTTATAAACTTCTAGACTATCACTTTTATATTCTGAGTGAAACGATGAATGTACCTATTGATTTTACAATGATGTGTGTTTTTTTTTTAATTTTTAATTTTTTTTTTAATTTTTGTGTCTGTGTACACGATTAGTAGTCGAAATAATGCTTCGATTTTCAACTTCAGTAACTTGTTCGATGGGAAAGTGAATCTAGTTGGTACTTTTGGGAGGTCAAAATTTAAAATTCCCAATAGTTTTCACAACAAGATTAACAAAAGAAAAATTAAGGAAGCACGGGAATTTCTACGCAAAATCGATTTTTCACAAAATTGAATTTGGTTTTTGGTGTAACTTTAAAACAAATGACCGTAGATACATGACATTTTTACTGGTTGTTTATATTTACATTTTTTTATTTTCCATTTTTTTTTCTAAAGATATCAATAAAATTTTGATTTGTTGGCTGAAGAAGCTTGAAAATTTAATAGAAGGCTCCTAGTATACTGTTCCAAAGGCAGATGAAAAATATTAAGAATCCTTAGTCACAGTTTTTTTTTCTAAGTATTTAAAGTTCACAAATTGACAAAATATGGAAAAATCACGAAAATTAGCAAATTATTTTGAGTTAAAAATTCGTAAAAATTTTTCTTTTTAAATCTAAGGTTTTAAAATGTCATACAAGATTCCTTATAAGTTTGTCTACCTTTATCAAAAAAAAAAATGTCTATAAGAAAGTCGAATAAAATTTTTATGAGCGTTTGAAATTCAAATTTTTACAACATTGAATATTCACTCAATTTCCCATATAGCGATTTCCTTATTTTATTGTAATTCAAAAACGAATAACTGTAGATACATGAAAATTTCACTGAATGTTTATATTAGCATTTCCTATACACCATACAAATATGAAAATATTTTGACTCTTTTTGAACTGTTTACGGACATTTTCAGTTTTAAATTTTTTTCTATAAATATCAATAAAGTTTTATCTGTTGGCCCAAAAATTGGAAAAAATTAATACAAGGCTCCTGATATATTGTTACAATATCAGTTGAAAAATATTTAAAATACATAGGCACAATTTTTTTTTATAATCATTCAAAGATTGAATTTTGACAACATTTATCAAAATCTCGAAAATTATCAATCATTGTAATTAATAAATTATAAAATTTTCAGTTCTTATAGTTAAGGATTGCAAATTTAAAACAAAGGTTCTCATAAATAGGTCATACTGTAACCAAAAAATCTAAAAAATATATGAACACAGT